GATAAAAATAGCATGAGATGATGTCATTAAAAATTATCATAATGCATCTGGAAAGAAAAACCATTGGGGACACCTAGGTGATCTTAAATCTGACACTTCTCCTTTTTTTTTTTTTGAATCCCTGATTTAGTAATTTTAACCTGCTTCTCACAGTAATGAGGACGGGATTCATATTCGCAGAAGTCTGGCTCTTGATCTGAATAGTGTGTGTAAGTGTGGGAGAGGAGATGGGGGAATGATGCCTGGTTTTGTGTGACCATTTCTTACCCCCTTTCCTGTACAGGCTTCCCCCCAGGTTAGTGCAGTGCCAGGGGTGCAGTCTGCCCTCCTCAAGGTGGAAAGTAGAAGCAAACACCAAAAGATGCAGCCTCTGTGTCATCCCCCTTAATACAACCCAAACCGAATGGAAGGACCAGCAGAAATGAGGACAGGATGTCCAGGCAATTTATATCCATCCTCACACCAATAATATCTCTGCTTCCTTAAGAAGGTAGCATTTCTGTGCTAAGAATTAGCCTAAGCTGGTAACTGCAGCATCTTTTCATACTGACTAGCTGGGGCCATTCCAATTGAGTATAATAAACGATATAAGGAACAATATAAGCGGTGCTATAAATAATAATGCTGCAATTCTACTGATGGCTTATGGTGGCATTATAAATGATCTGAGCAAAGTCAGGAGGTCTCTTCACACCACCAGAGCCTCATGGTGGAATTATAGATCTAATTTAAGTGCATTTTGGGGGTAAATTATTTATTAAAATGTAAAGCTTATGGAGATAAATGTTCAAGTAGTCAGACTGCTGGACTAGGTGAGCATTCCTGGTCCCTAATAATTACAGGTAGAATTTGCTCACGGGCAAAAGGGGTAGATCAAGATTTTAGGTATCCAAAAATCCCTGTAGGACACATCTTGGCACAAGGGTGCAATCTCTAGACTTACAATGGAATGGCCTCCCTGTACAGGTGATCAATCCTGAGCACCAATTGCTCACACATCCGTTTGAATCATTAAACTGGAGTTAGGAGTCGAGAGCAAGAAGAAACATTTCTCAGGCTGATGACATAGATATTGATTGTTACCTTACAGCTTTTGTTTTCAGTTTTCCCGCATTTCAATCCCAAAATGGAGTCTTACTGCATATGTAATTCTAATTCCAGTCAGAAGTGGTCACTGCTGCTAAACTAGGAAAGCACTCACAGGACCATGATGAAATTGTCTCTGCCACATACTTCTTGAGTGGCCTCAGGCATGTCACTTAA